TAGTCCTCTCTGTAAAGACTTTCAGGAGCGGATTCCTGAGCATTAATTGCAAAAGGAGAAATACTTCTCTCTGTAGCAACACGACGGTAGAAGGCAATGTGCCTTCTTTTCTGTGTGTGAATGCTTTGCTTATTGACAAGTTTCACAGTTAAGAGGCAGTTAAAATATAGTGATAATTCTCTTAGTTTTCACTCCTGACCCAAGTAATAACTAGTTGGACTTGCAGGCATCTAACATACCTAAGCATGTGCCATGATCCTCCAGATTGGAGGAGTCATAGGATTTTTCCTCATCACAGATATTCCTCTGTTTGCAGGTATGAATGAGTCGGCCATTGAAAATTTCTCCTGTGTGATTTATAACATTTGCCTCATGAACTGCACTTGGCAGGCAGGAAGGGGTGCTCCAGCAGATACACAGTATTTTCTCTACTGGCAGAACTCAAGGTAAGTAGGTCTGCTTGAGTCAGGGAAGCCTGAGTTCTCATTCAACACATCACACTACCCGTGTTTAATGAAAATACCTTGCTTTATACAGAGATGATGGGCAGATGGAATGTGAGCTTTACATTAAAGATGAAAACGGCAGAAACGTGGGATGTAGATTCCAAAATGTGAGGATAGAGATTGAAAAAGCTTACTTCCTAGTTAATGGGTCTAGCAAAGACTCCCTGATCCAGTTCTATGATGAGTACATTGAACTGTATAAAATTGGTAAGTAAATGAACATTTTTGTTTTATTACTGTTTTATAAAATAAGGAAGTGGTGAATTTTTCTCTGGAAATAAGATTAAAACAAAGTCTGGAGGCCATTGCAGGATCCTGCACTGCAGGACAGACTTTGCTCCCTACAGCTGACAGAATATAGTTCCAAAAATTAACTAAAACAAGCGAAGGTAGAGGCAGCCTGAAACAACTGCTCAGAGAAGTGGTGTGAACATATCCATGGATTCCAATTAATGAAACACAATGGTTAGACTTTCAAGGCTACCTTTCTGATGGGTTTATTTTGCCATCCCTTAATCCCACACCTCCCTGGGACCCACAAGAGCTACATGTCCTAAAACCAGAGTGAGGGTTCAACTTGCAAATTAAGGCTGTGTCAGATCAATATGTGCAAACTGGGTGTTTAAGCTCCAATAAAGATCTGGGGTGGGATTTAGTTGCCTAAAAACACGCCTCTAGTGCCATTTGAGACACACTCAGATACTTGAGGCATCCACGAGGCTTGCAGATGTGGCCTGGGACCCATGAGATACCAGAGTCCTTCTGAGTGTCCTGTGTGGTCTGAAATGCAATACAAGTGACTCCTGACTGTAGCTGATGGGGCTGTGAAGCTCAGAGCTATCTAGACAAGCACATCTGCTCCATGGTGTGCCAAAGAGCTTTGCAGCCATCAGGGCACTACTGGAGAGGTCTCCACTGACTGTAGTGGTTAGACACTTAGGTCACACTCAGTCTATAGGCACTCAAATTCCAATGCCTTGCTCTTCTACATAAAAAATACTACAGGTACAAAAACTTCCATCCTTCTTTCTATGGAGACTTGCACTGTCAATATGAAATTGGAAAACAGATGTAGAAGAAAAGTGACACTGTGATTGTACTACTGAATTACACAAAATCCTTCATATTAATTTTCACATGAACTTCAGTTACTTCAGATGTCCAGGAACTGCAGTGATATATTCCCAAGTTTTGGTATGGTATTTTGCTGCTGTTTATCAAATAACTTTTGCTAGAATCAGTGGCACACAGCTGTACATCGGTTGCCTCACCTTGACATGTATTTTGCTATGAAGGTATGAGTTGTAGCAGATTACTGACCATGCCTACATTAGTTATTCCTTTTTTTTTTCCCCCAGAAATACTCGCTGCTCCATTAAATGTCACTGCCCATTGTACTGGAGATCCAGTGGGTTGCATAATTACATGGCATCCACCCCTTACAAGTCACGTGGAAAAAGTAAAGTGTTTTCAGTATGAAATTAACATACAAAATAAGGTAAAAATTTCTTTGTTTGTCTGTGCCACTGTACATACACACATGTATCTATAATATGCAAACTTCTGATTCCTTTAATTATTAACTTCTCTCTCATGACCTGTGGTGTCCTCCTGCTCCAGCTCTGCTAGTCTCACATCCCATCTCTCATAATCTTTTTTCAGACTTCTCAGAGATGCGAAGTAGAAAAGCAGAGGAGAACAGGGAAATATTATGAGGGATCTCTGTCTTGAGAATGCTTGAGAAAGACTTGAGAATACCTGTGATGCTGTCCTGCATAAGCACATGTCACAGGAGGAACGACTGTGTGACCTGCAACAAGGGCACTGGCTTGGTGGCAGCCTCCAGCCTGTGCCCAGGTCCTGAGCTCCTCATGCTCACCCTGGTTCATAGAATAATTATTAAGGTTGGAAAAGACCTTCAAGATCATCAGTTGCTAACATAGCACCACCATAATCACCACTACACTATATCACTAAGTGCCATATCCATATGCCTTTTGAACACTTCCAGGGATGGTGACTCATCTGCTTCCCTGGGCAGCCTGCTCCAATGCCTGACCACCCTTTCAGTGAAGAATTATTTCCTCATATCCAAACTAAACCTCCCCTGGTGCAACTTGAGGCCGTTTCTTCTCCTCCTAATGTTTGTTACCAGGGATAAGAGACCTATCCCCACTCTGCCACAAGTAGTTGTAGAGAGAGAGAGAAGGTCTCCCCTGAGTCTGCTTTTCTCCAGGCTAGGGTATGTCTGGTTTCCACCACATACGACAGAGCAGAGAGGCTGAGGTGTCAAATCCTTCTCCACAAATCTCAGTGTCTAAAGGACCTGATTTTAACATCTCTAAGGACAAAGGCCGGGAAGTTTTTTTTGAGTCCAGGAGTTTGACAAGGAGACAAGAAATAGCACTCTTCCTCCTCATTGCTGGGATACCTGTTTTACCAGTATGTGATTTCCACACGTGGATAACACCTGTGTTGGGGTAAATTAGTGCTCCCACCTATCCCACTTCCCAGCTGCAGCTCATAAGCTTACAGCAGTGGCAATTCTCAGGAACAAGACCATTGCAGGAAAGATCAGCTAAGAGTTAAACATAAATATGCAACTGAAATAAAATACATAAATATAAAACTGAAATAAAGCAATACACCATTAAATCTTATTCGTTGATTCAAAACAAGGCCTACAGCTTGCAGGCTGCAGCTATTTCAAGGAGCAATTGCAGTACACATAGCTTTCCAGCTTGGTAGGTATAATGTCACAGGAAGATCTTGTGTGAAATACGTAGAATTTTTTACATAAAGATACAGGCCACAACATATGATTAAAGCAATATTATCAAAAAATTTATTTGAAAGAAATACATGTTACCTCTTCTTTCCTGTGCCCCAGTCAGAAAGGATGGGGTTCAGTGTAGATTTCTACATTTGGGTGTGAAATTCATCTTGCAGAGACACCTTAATGTAGGTGTCTGCAAAGGAGCACAAATATCCCCTGAGATAGGGCTCCGTGCTGTGGAAGGGCTCATTCCCCTTGAGGTGCTAGAGTTATTGAAGGTATCAGAAGTATCTACATGGAGATGGCAGATAAAACTCACACCTTTCAGGAGGGGTTGATAGAGGTAAATGTCACTAAATTAAAGCTTAAGTAACTCATTTACACTGCCCACTCACAGCACAGGCTGATTGACTTCCATCATGTCCTAAGCTGAAAGAGCTCAGCTGACAATAAATGATGGGGAAATACTAGTCTGCATTATAATTCAAGACACACAGTGGGTGTGTATTCCGTAACGAGACATTCCTTCCAGTTACACCTTTCTGACTTTTCCATAGTGTTAGCTATCCTCCTGATATTTCATGTGACAGTTGTTTCCAGGACCTCAGCCTTTCAATGTTTTCTGAGATCATTGCTAAAAATCACTGCTGTTGAAACTGTTCACTCATTTTTGAACCTTATCTTTTTTTTCCCCCCAAATTTTCAGGTTCTTTGATCCAGGTAAAAGTTTGATTCCAGTTAATTAAATTTTGATTGTATAGGATGTGTAAGTACCTCTTCACAGTAGTTGGGGGAAAGCCCTTGAGCCTGGATAACACAGACTTTGACCGGAAGGAGGGTAAATTTGCTATTCACATAATTTTTCTGCCCCATGTTATCAAACTCTTGTGAAATCACAGCTTCCAGACCTGCTGTGTGTGTAGGATGGTGTGATTGCTTGCGTAATTTGGATATACTTCTGCTGGATGAGAATGTACAGTCTAAATATGCCCTTAGTGCCAAATACAGCTTCTCACATCTAATGATAACTAATTCATGTTCCCTTCCTTTTCTAAAAGGAAATGTAGGAAGCCAACATTCTGAATAAAATGCTGTTATTCTGGGACATTACTGGAGAAGACTATCCAGTTTTTCAGTTTAAAATTACTTATGTTCTTTAAAGGCAAGAAAAAGAGAACCAGAAAGGAATATTTTATTATTTGATAAGAAAATAATAAAAATGAAGATTTGTCTTTGTTTTGCAGGATGAGCCCAAAGAAGAGAAAAAGGTTGTAAGTATTCTTGCCATATACAAATTTGTGGTTTTGCTCACTTAAGCATAAAAATACTATTACAAAAAATACACTTACTTCTAGAACTATAGGGTTTGCATCTGTGTCTAAGGACAGTTAGACAAAGTGAGTACAACAATCTTCAAAACCTGTGGAAGTTAATGCATACTGTCAGTCTTTCCCTGACAAATGAGTGGTCCTCTGACCCTTGGAAAGGCTTGACAGATTCTAGACTTTGTATAAAGTATCATGAGGCCAGATAATACATATCTGTTGTTGTACTGTCTTAAAAACATTAGGTCTCTTTAGCAAAAACAGACACCATGCAGAGAACATTTGCATGTTTTATCCCCATGAAGGCTGCAAGGGGATTTCACAGGGTTCTTCTGCAGTTTCTGCTTTGTGTCTTTCTGATTTTTTTAGGATCCATAAACAAGAACAGGAAAAAAAAGTGTCCTTAAAGCATAATAAAATAAATTAAAGACCCAATAAACTTCAAAAATCTAGTTTTAACCTTCAAAAAAGAGAAAGTTTTGATGGCAGGATAAACATTTAACTAGTACATACCTAAAAAATCATACAAATTATTTTTTTCTAGAAACTGTATAACGAAATCAAACCCCAAATTTTGTTAATATTTTGTTAATATGAATTTTAATCATATTAAAATTAATTTTTAAAAATTAATTTTAATTTTTGTTAATCTGATTACTTTGCTTCTAGGTAAGGAATGATAGATACGAATTCCAAAATTACAATGAGAAAAACCGATACATTCTGAAAATCAGAGCACGTGGAACAAAATGTCTCGTAAGCTCAAAGTGGGGGGAATGGAGTGAACCCATTGAGTTTGGTAAGATTATGAAATACTATTTTTTTTTCAGTATTACCATGTTTGCTTCCCTTTCTCCCTCACAGTCAAAGGAATGAATAAAATCTTAATTCTTACCCTTACATGGAAGGAACTGGGTGGAAATTATTAGTGAGGAAGAGTACTCTGGCAGCAGAACCTTTGGTTAGCTGGGACTGTGAAGGCAGCAGTTACTCAGATGCCAGGGCTACAGGAACAGATGAAAATAGACCCACTCTTGCCTTTGGCCTGAAGTGATGAGGATGCCTCTGAGTTCTTTTAAGTTTTTAGGGTTGAATATCACCTTCCTTCTGCTTCTCTCTTGTTACCCTTTCCACTAATTTTGCTCAGTTATTTGTTCTGTAACTCTGTTTATTTTTCTTCTTTTCTGGATTATTTTTTAATTTCTCTACATTTTAAATATTTGAAATGGTTTAAAATGCACCAAGTCAACCTGAATTTTTGTCAAAGTTCTGTAAGAAAGTCAAGTTGAAGTCCTTTGAATAATTAAGAATAAATTGTGAAACTTGCATTCATTACTGACAGTCTCCTCAGCAGATTTTTGGTATGCTGAGATATTTCTCTCTCTTGGATGTTTCAGGTCAAGGGAAAGATTACTTTATTTTTGTGATTTTATTTCTAATAGCACTTGGAACAATATCAGTGACAGTGCTCCTGTATTGTCTTTTCAAAAGGTAAATCAACCTTTTTTTCTGTAGATACTACTGATAGAGTATTATCTCTATGAAACACATTCCTTCAATCTCCTACTTTACTACCTGCAAACTTAAATAATCTGAATTATCAATGTCAAAATGTATTATCGCCAGTATTGTTGTGGATGGCCCTTCGGCACACAAAATCACTACAAGTGAAAAATGGGGAAAGGATATTGAAGTTACTAAGTGGATCCTGGATTCCACCAGATCCTACAAAAGCTATTGTGTTCTTACTTTTAAGCATTTAATATCCAGGTTGCTTTGAAGCCACTGGCTGCATACAGTACCAGACAGGAGGGAATCCGGACAAATTAACGTATTGTTATTTTGATAAAATTTCTCACTCAGTGGTTAAAGACAGTTATGTCATGTGATTTATTCAAAGTCATTGATTAATGAAGTATTTACTGTGACTCTCATCACAAAATAAATTTTAGTTACCCAAGTGATAAGTATACTAATAGTTACCCACCAGTTAACCCACTCAAAATATTTCTTTTCACTTAATTTGTAGAGCAATAGCTATTCAATCTTGAAAGTAAAGAATGTCCTTAAATTACAAAACACAATGTTTGTGTAAGTTATATTACCAGTATTTTAAATTTCTCCACAATGCCATTTTCTATCCAAAGGTATTGCAGTTTCAAGAACATACTTCCTCCTATACCACAACCGAGAGACAAATTTAATGCATTAACCAATGAAGATATCCAGGTATGGTTTCTTTTCAATTCAGTCAAATTTGTTAACTCTAATCCACAATAGGCCAAAGACTAGAACTGACATATAAAGATAAGTGTTACAATGAAGACCAGTGCCTGTCATGCAAGGTACGCTGCTTTGAAACCTGAAATGCTCTATGCCAGTGCTGAGACAAATGATTATTCTGTAGGTATTTGCAGCCATATTTTAAGACCTGAGTTTTCACTTTTATGGAGAACAGTAATTTCTGTGCGTACAAGCTCTACGAGTTTGCTGTTCATACTTTGAAAATAACCCAAGAAAACATCTTCCATTAGCATTTTCAAATATCAATCACATAATACATAATACAATGTGAATATGTATTTTATAAGCCTGACCAACCCCATGTAAAAATCCTGTCACACTGAATAATGAAAATCAACAGGGCTGGGAAGACTCAACAGCTTAACTAGTCTTCCTCTTGCACCAGCATAGGATTAGCAATTTCAGTGCTTTGTACAAACTGTATTTGACCAATATACTGTAGCATCCCTATGTACCCTATTCTATATTTTTAACTATCCTCACTTTTAAAAAGCTTTTTAATAGCCTGTTTTACTGCACTTAAAATCCATTACTTTTTATCCTTATTCCTTTCCTGTTTACAGTTATCTTACACACTTGCACACTGTTAACAGCAAGTAACTCTTCCTGTCTTTCTACACGTCATGACAACCAGGCTTCAAACCATTGATGCTTCTCAAATTGTCCATTTGAGCAGTGGTTGTATGGTGATTGCATTGTGAGGGAATGCTTCGTCTCAGCTGGCTAAAGCAAAGTCAATAAATCAGGCTAGTCATTTACTGCCTACAACAATTCAGTGGCAACACCATGCTTTCCAATGAGGCTTTCAAAAGTGGCACAGAAATTTTCCTTCAACTGTTTACAAAGAATCCTCAAAGCTCTGACTACTAAAACTCTCTAGTTTTGGTAACTATATACCAGCACATTGTCCTATTTAATTTGTCTTTGGTGCTACCACCTTTGACTTTCACAGAAAGCAGGTAGGAATGTGACATGGATAGGTTTCCTCATACACATTAAGTCATAAATACCTGGTATCTCACTTCATACCAGGCTTCCAGAGCATAAGCCATCCACAGTCCATCACATTAAATAATAAGAGCAAGTACAGTAGCAAGCAGTCTTTCAAAAATTACAGACTCTCCAGATTGTTTGCTTTTCCTAAACTTGAGGGGCTTCCAAATTTCTGTGCATATACTACCAGACTTAATCAAATCACTCCATTACAGCCCAAAGGCCTTTGTCGATGTGGTTTCTAAATGCTGGCACAGGCTCTTCCATGCAGGCAACAATTTAACAGCAGCAGTTGCCAGAGTTCAAGTGAAGCCCTCAGGTTGCCTCATACCTGTCAACAGGCACTGTGAAGGTAATTCATACGATTATGACATGTTTAAACAGCTTCTGGACTCCTCTTTGCCCATTTTGATCTAGTCTTAAAGTCTAATTTTATTATACTTCTTCCCTTCAAACTCAGGTATCTTTTTTTAACACTGATTGAATGCTGCAATTCTTCAAAGCAGAAAATAAAGTACAAAAACGGTATTTTCAAGATCTCTCCTCTACTGAACACCAGAACACTCTCTCCCTGACATTTAGTGCTAATGGATTTATGAGTTATTTTGAAATCTATAACTTGCTAATCACGCCTCTTTAAAGCTTGCATTTCTTTGTTTTGTCCTTAGTCAATGACCTTTCACATTTTCTTTTTTTCTTATGTTTCACTATACTTTTCCCTAGATCACTGAAATATCTCTATTTACAAAATCCTAATTTTCTGCACTGAGTTCGCATTTGTATTCTTAAAATGTTCATGTTAAAAAACTACCAATTTTCTTATTTACTGTAAGATCTTACCAACCAAATCACTCAGTGCAGACACCTTGCATTCATCTAATCCATTTTATTTTACTCATCTTACTACCAAAGCCTGATGACATTTCAGTCACTCTCCCCAGATACTTTTTTCACCCTCACTCAGAAGTCTAACACTTAAGTTTTCCTCTTTTCCCAGATCAAATTCATTTGTGCATTTTCCTCAGAGTAGCCAAGTAGCACAAAACACCATGACCCTGAAGCCCTGCAGTGCTTAACCAATCCCTCAGATTTCCTAGAAAAAAATTTCCCACGAAGACATCCTGGTTTGATGTTGTCACATACCAGCAGCTTGTCTTTCCTTTTTTTTTAACTTTTCCCCCCAGTACTATCCCTCCTTTTTTTTTTTTTTTTTTTTTAAATCATACTTATCTCCCTTCAATACTTTCAGCTCTGAGTGCTGTATCAGTACTATGATTTTAACTAGCAACATCCACTCTCCCAGAACTCCACGTTAACCGAGGTTAAAATGTGTAACAGCAACCAAAGTATTTTCTCTAGAAGTCTAGCTAATGCTTACATATCAAAAACTCAGGCAATACCCACTGAATAAATTCCTTCTATTGTCTCAGTTAAGGTTGTCCAGCATTTAGATAAAATTCTATTCTTTGTCCTTCTGCTGACAAACAGCTAGTACTGATTGTACACATTAAAAGTAAAACAATCCCTAACTGTCCTTAAAACCACTTTCTCCCACTTTGCAAGCATCTCTTTAAGTAATGAAAGAGCAAGAAGAGGCACCTTTGGTACTGGTGTATCTAGTGTTGTCTGATTATCGACAGAGTGACTCTCTAGCCTACCGCATATTACAGACTTTTCTTTCTCTTTAGACAGAATATGTAAATCTACCATCAAAAAGTCATACCGAGGAAATAACTACAGTTGAAGAGATGACCCAACTTTCCAAGAAGAAAATACACTGATGCCCCCAATACAAAAGCATAGATCCTGCTGACAAGTACTTCAAACCAGCCTATAAAAGAATATAATTGCCTATAACACTGTTTGTTCCATAAAAATCCACTTAAATGCAGCAGGTGAAACAAGGGGAGAAAAATCTGTGAAATTTATTCTTCGCCCTTTGTTTGAAACCAAAATGGCCAGCAGCCACACTTTTCTGTAAGTGTCTACTTCGAAGACATGCTTAAACCTGGCTAGGATGTTCTTCACAATGTGAGACAAGGCCTCTTATCCAGAAGAAACTCACTTCCCGTCTTCATTGCTAGGAAGCTTCTTTCCTCTGACTATAAAGGTTTCCTGGAAGATGACAGGCCTGTTTAAGAATGCCACAGTAATTTTATGATCGTACAGTTTTTATATGCTCAGGGGTTTTTTTAGCAGAAACTATTCAAAATGTGTTTAAAATTGGCCCTTTAATCTTCCAACCAGCAATACCAAAGACAAAAATGGCAAATAAAATTACACCTGTCAAATGTAACTATTAATACTGGTCTGCCAGTCAGCCATTTCATGAGCTCAGTACTGCCACTGCAAATACAGACCTCTGCAACACTCCGATCTTCTGCAGGATTAGCATGTACTTAAATCACAGACAGCATTTAAAGCCTTCAAAAACATCTAGTCTTAACAGTTGTGAGGACTGAAATAAAATCTGTAATAAAGGTTTAATAGCTGCATTTTAGAATCCCTTCAAAGGGTGCAAATTCAGTTTCCAACACCTTTCAAAAATAATATAGGTTTTAGATGCCAGAACTTTTACAAATTCTGGCTGTTTTCCTGTAAATATTTTTCAAAATGAATGCATTGCACAGTGTCTCAATAAGGCAGAAAACAAATGCTTTTTTTAAAAGTCTCATTTATTGTTTGCCTCTTATGTTCCTAAACTTCATGGCACATTGGAAATTGCTGCTGCATGACTGAGAGAAGCCATATATTAAAAAAACCAAACCAGCACAAATTAGTACATGCTGAATGCACAGCATAGGGAAATTGCAGTTCACGTTAAAACCACCTACACTTGCACTTTTTTTTCTATTTCTTGTAGTTAAAACCTAGTTCTGGAGAAAAGATGGTGAGAAAGTCCTATCCCTTTCAGGGGCTGCTCAAGTAACTGCCATGTTTGGTTCCTCTCACCAAGTTTGGGCCAGCATACACTCACAGTGACGCATCCCACCATTATCTCTGCCATTTCAAGCCACTGATACAGAAAATAAACCTAAGCAATGTGTTTACATAGACAAAATGTCTTCCCCTCTCCCTCCCATCAATATAATTACAAGTGAAACAGTAAGTTGATTGGCAAGGTCAAGATCAAATGACCTGCCTGCACCAAAGGGAACTGCGATTACCTAACAGGGATGAAACAGGTACATAAATTTTGGCACTGGCCTGTGTACAGAGGAACTGTGTAATGTCCTTACATTCATACACATGTTGAGAGCAGCACTTGTGCAACAGTGAAAAGAAAAAGGTAAGTCCTTTTGAGAGGAAGGTAATAACCAGCCAAAGCCAAGTAGTTAATTTAAATACTTCATCTTGAATACCAACCTCAGAAGGCACAGAAAGAACTCAAGACAGCTCAGTCAGCCTTCAGTGATTCATACAACGACACGCTTTTTCCAGATATAGGGAAAGTTCTTAAAACACAAAGATTAACACCTTGTTTTCCTTTACTAGTCCTCCTATTGTGTTTTTGCAGATTACAAAGTATAAAAGATTATATACATATGTAGAACGGCACATAGGTATTACACTACCTCAAATAGCAGTATGAGAAATTACTCAGTCTGCTTTTGTTCTTCTGACCATCCCAAGACACCAATCAGTTAATACAGAAAGCTGACCTACCTTGATCTATTACTTTACAGCAATACAGAAACACACACATTCCCTCCCACACACCCCATCAATGTCATCTCCTAGAATGAGCCTCATTTCAGATTAAATTCAACCTTCCACAGAGGTACTGATTGACCACTGCCACAGATGAGGCCAAACAGTATCCTGAACGGCACAATCAACATTTCCAAACAGCAGCAATACAATACATAGGTCACTCAGAAGTTGAAGGCATTTACTGGGTTCCTGGGTTTTTGCATGAATGCTATGTTGCTTTGTAATACTGATTTAATAACAAAAAATTATTTTAAGCTCTTTCACCAAGGGCTAGAGCATTACTTTTTGACAGTTCTTGGGTCTTTGGGTTTTGCTAGCACAACTGACACCCCCCCCATTTTAAATCTATGAGAAGTTGCAAATCAATTTCTAAGAATCATGCAAAAAGCCACTTGCAGCAGCCCATTGTAGACCATCAGGCACAAAGAATGGGACTGGTCTCTATCAGTACAACCCATGCTTCCCCATCCTTCCCCATAAAATTCTCACATTCAGGTTTTTTTTTTAAAAGCTTAATTCTATTACAGAGTGCAGTGTAAATGTATCAGAGGAACCATTATCTGAAACAAGTTTTCAAACAAAAGAGGCTTTCCCAAAGGTTTTATGTAATAATTTCAACACAGACAGAGTAAGTATGTTTATTGTTTTACAGCAAAATGCCCCAATTTAAGAACAAAACTGCTAGATGTTCAGCTGTGCAAAATGGTACATAGTGCTTCAGTACAAGTGGAAAAGAACATGATTTGTTAGCAAATGCTTTCAAATACAATTTTATGGTCCTAGAAGATAGGACTTGAAACTGAGGACTGATCCGCAGGCAAACAATTTTTCTCTGCCTAAATTGGACCTAGCCACTTTGGACCCAGAACCAACACCACTCATTTTTGATTGCTGAAAAGAAAAATCAGCACACTGAATTGCCAGATTCAGTGTCTTCATGCATGTTACAGTGAAATGGATCAGTCCTCTATGTCAGTTTCTAGCCCCATCTACAAGTATCATCTGGCTCCGATAAATAAGACTCACAGGAATTTCTTGAAGGTCAATGGTCCGTAATGGTAGTTATTCTACATGATCTGCTCAATTTGATTTCCAATTCTAGTTAGGTTGTTTAAATGACTTTCTTGAATTCATCGTACAGCACAAGCACAAAAGCACCCCCCATGCCTCTGAGAACATTGGACCATGCACCCTTGAAGAACGCCTTTCCTCCCTCATCCCTGGCAATCTTCCGCCAGCAGTCAATCGTTCCAGAGTACATGATATCAGCTGCAGGAAAAGAGCAAAGAGTGATTCTTAACTCCTATAATTTTATCTCAGATGTTTTTAACAACTCTCCTGTTTCACTTAACTACTTTGTGATGTCCCAAACCACACTTTAAGACTGTAATACGATTCTTAGCACAGCCAATAGCAAAGCTTCCTCTCTGCTTGCCTAGTTAATAAAAGCTGCCACAAAGCAAAAACGTTAAGCTTTCATTTTGGCAACTATTCCAACCCCTAATTACCGTAATTTAATTTGTCAACACAAACAGGCAGCCCATTTGCCTATTTCATTTTCAATAAAGAGAAGTCCTCAGCATAATTCAGGACAAACACAAGTTGAACCTTACTGCACTTCCTCATTTCATGTAAGTGTCAAGGCTATAAGTAAAATAGAACTCCATCTTGTTAATGCTGCTTGAAAAACTACACAGAGTTACAGCCTACCTCCTTTGCGTCCTGACTGCATCATCATTCTACGCCGCACTGTATCAAAAGGATAGGACACCACACCGGCCACAGCAGTCACCGTCTGGGCAATCATCCAACTGATAACAATGTGAGTATTTCTGGGATCTGGGAGCATGCCTGCAATAAAAAAAAGAAGTAATTAGCTTTTTATCTTGCACATCCTCCTCCAGTTTACTCACTGCATGACAGCTACTTTACTAGACGAACTAGTAGGAAACTAGATGCCCTAGTTACAAAACATTGTAGAGCCATACTTGAAAACTGCAACTTCATAAACTTTAAACACATTGAAGCAACATAAAAACCACCTAAAGAAATTCAGGATTTTCTTCAGTTATCAAAACAGCTTAACATTTAAGAACAAGGATTCTTTTCAGACTGGCATGAGAAAGTCTCAACTATTCATTACTCTCTTTAAAAAGAAACGTCAACGTAAATTAAGTCACCGTCCCTGTGGATTACGTTACCACAAACTAGCATCAATGGCTTACATGCCCAAATGTCCAGCTTAACCAAGTGTTTTACAAAAGCATTGCTCAATCCCATTCTGCTAAACACTCTTGAACTGGTCCAATGTAACTACAGGAATGCATTGAACAAAAAAGAACTTTTTCTGTGTATCATTATCAACATACTTTGCTGGCATCAGGAGCAACTCCTTACAAAACCAATACTTGAAAGTAGGTTGCTGCCATCAACACATGCCCAAGTTTTGCCTTCAACACTGCAGTGTCACTGATGCTGGCACCAATATCCCCTTCTACCTTAATGTAGTTATTACAGTGTGTAACATCCCAGAACAGGCAATACAATTGTGAAAAGAGGTTTACTGGACCTCCTCTGAAGTATTACCTTTTGCTGTATCATAGATCCCGAAGTAGGCAGCTCTATAGATGATGATGCCTTGGACAGAGACATTGAACCCTTGGTACAAGCCTCGCACACCATCAGACTTGGTAATTTTGACTAGACAGTCCCCGAGACCAGAGAATTCTCTGTCTGCACCAGCTTTTCCAACATCAGCAGCCAAACGGGTTCTTGCAAAATCCAAGGGGTAGACAAAGCAGAGGGAAGTGGCTCCAGCTGCACCACCAGATGCCAGGTTACCAGCAAAATATCTCCAGAACTGAGTGTGCTTGTCTACACCTCCCAAGAACACCTGCTTATACTTATCCTTGAAGGCAAAGTTGAGAGCTTGAGTTGGGAAGTATCTGATGACATTAGCCAAGTTTCCTCGCCAGAAAGACAGCACTCCTTGTTCCTTTGGAATACGTACTACACAATCGATGATACCCTTGTACTGCTTATCAGCAGCAATCTGTTTGCTTGCATGTTGCACCTGCAAATAAAAGTATGTATATTGACCACATGCCTTGACTGGCCTATGCCATAGCTGGGCTTAAGCCTGCTTCTATTATACAAAAAAGCTGTTAATTCTGAATGGCTTAGGGTTGTGTTATTGTTAAGAAAAAGGCTTAAAATTGCTTCCTAACTTCCTCAGACCTCAGGACTTACCAAAATAGGGACAAGTGGGGGTTGACCTCTTATCCCAGCAACTAGCAACAGGACAAGAGAATATAGCCTCCAGCTGCACCAGAGGAGATTTAGGTTGGACATGAGGAATAATTTCTTCACAGAAAGGGTGATTAGACATTGGAATGGGCTGCCCAGGGAAGTGGTGGACTCACCGTCCATAGAGGTGTTTAAGGACAGACTGGACGCGGCACTCAGAACAGGCCTACCTAGAGGCGAGAGCCCTTACTGACAGAGGGACGGGGGGGCACGGGCGGGCAGGCAGGAGCCCGCGTTCGGCCAGCGGCAACGCGAAGGTC